ATTAATATTTCTGTGAACAAGGAATGATTCTCTCTATATAAACGACATATCTTAAAACATTGCCTGATTTTCAGAAAATATTTGTCCTCACCTTTGAAGGAAGAAAAGGGAAAACAGCCTCTTTTAACATATGACAGCTGGGACCCCCAAAGTAGAACTGATTTTTCTAAAAAATGTGGATCTGAAATGAATTTTTGTACTTTCCTCCCCTCAACTCAAGACTGTGGCTCCTACATCCATTGCAGTCCCTTTCTACATATATTGTGGAGAGGAATGTTGTCCTTTGCAGCACTGATTTAGTTTGAGGTCCATTACACCCAGGCACAGTAAAAGCATTTGGAATACTTAAGAAACCTTCAAATGAAGTTGCCAGAGAGGAGCCTGCAATCTCCTGTTAAATCACTTATGCCATCTGTCCAGAATTTCCTCAAGAAATTACTATGAAAACATACAGCCAAGAACACAACAGCATCCGCAGATTTCTTTGTAGATGTGTTCTTAATGTTCAGGATAATTATCTTCTCAACAAGATTTGGTAATAATCACACACTTTTCCTTAGGTAATGTAAGGACTTCATAAATGGTGAAGACATTTCAGTGTCTTGGTCTATATACAGATGGAAGCCATGATCATAGAAAACTCTTTAAAAAATATCTCTTCAGGGAAAATGAGAAGAGTTTGCTACATTTACTAAATAATTTAGCAGCTGCATTCCCTGGATTTTTTTCAGGGAAAGGAGTAGGTACATTTTGGCAGAGATGCACAGTGTTAATTGGACTCGGTTGTTCTCTGCCTAACAGGCTCCTGGGTGTCAGGATGAGCAGCACTGGCCTCCCTTGGCTTCTCACCTGGGATCATCCCTGAGGCTCAGCATCCTGACTGCCTCTACTCGGCACCTACATTATGCCTCAGCAGTAGGCAGCAACACAGTATGGATTACAACTATGGCAACATGCCAGGCTTCAAGAGCTGTGGTTTCTATCATGTGCATCTGCCAGGATCTAGTTACATTAATGCAACTGCACTTACATAGGATGGGCTTTCTCGAAATAAAAAGATCAGCAACTTCTCAGGAGAGACAGCAGCATTCCAAAATATTGGCAAAATATTGCAGTTGAAGAGTAACATTTGCTGAACTCATTTGACGTCTGCCTGAAAATTGCCCATGAACAGTTAGCAAGATTCTCAAATGTACTCATTATCTGGAGGATTATTCGTGATGTGCAGTCAGTTTGTAAAAGGTTTGCTGCGAATACTCAGTCTCCATCAGGTCAATTACTTACAGTAGCTACACAGTAGTGCTTTCTGTGCTCTGACGGGGTGGCTGCTCTGCCTTGCACAGCGTGAGCTGTGAATAGTGCAATTAGGTGCAGACCTTTGAGTCACAGTATGGAAGCATGATGCTAAACATTTGCTTTTTACACTCATCTACCCTAGCAAAGCTTGAGCCTTTGATTACTTATATTATGACAGACAGGTAGGGAAAAGGGACAGGCTGAATTAAAACATTTTTAAAAACAAGGATCCAAGATCTTAACATTGCTGCTGCCCTGCTAAAAAGCTTTCTTTCATTCCACAAAACAAAGGAAAGGAGGTGACACTTCCCGTTGCCCGTGCTAATGTCCCCAGATGTGACATACCCTATCCCAAAAGACAAAAAAGTCCAAAGCTGATAAAACCTTCCTCTCTTCCTGTGACAACCCATATCCTGCTGTTTAAGGGTCTTTAAATTTCAACACCAAATTCAAGAACATCATGGCAAAACTGAAAAAAAAAAAAACAAAAATAAACAAAAAAAAACACCCAAAACAAACCAAACCAAAAAACACCACCAAAAACACCAACAAAAACAGTCATCCTTATAGTGACAATATACTGAATCCCATATCAGGACTGGAAATACAATATATTAATTAATTTATTACACATTTTATCATTTAAGGCGGCTTTTGATATATGTACTATTGACTAGGTTAAAAAAGTTCTGAAGAGCTTCTGGGAAAACTGCTAAAGGAACCACAATAACATGTGGACACTGAAGTGCTTTCAGTTGTGTTTTAGATGAAAGCATTGACCTTAGTTCACATACTTTATTCTTCCTCTTTCCCAAGTGAGTAATTAACAGAAAAGTTTTAATGCATTATAATTTGAGCACATTAATTTTACACTCTGATCTCATTCCTTGTAATTCACATCCTTGATATACAAGTCTCGCATATTGCATGGCTGCAGAGTTTAGTTTCAAGTCACAATACATGACAAGGAAAAGGTTTGCTTTCACAGACTGAATAATTTTGCAAGATACCTTCAACACAGGAGTAATTCTAGGACAGCCTGAGTTAGGCACTTGTTTAGGTCCTTGATGAATTAGCATCATCTTTAATAACTGAATTTGGCAACCTCTGAAATTCTTGACTGCTAAATCATCGCAAAAATATGTATTTCACTGCTCAGTTCATGTTTCCCTCCCTAATCAAGCTTTGTATTTTCTTGCTTGTGCAAGCTAAACATTATTGGAATTACTGTGGAGGAACAACGTTGACAGAAGTAATTTCTAGGAGCGTTTGCCCTATGGACAAAAAAAATACACAACATAGCTACTTATCTAACCCCCTCTGCGATCCTACAAAGAGAGAGATATCAGTCCTGAAAGCAACAATAATCTCAGCTAAAATAGCAGAACAATGCTCCTCAGCAAATTTTGTTTTGTATTTGCACTATTTGCCAATTTTGTTTGTGCTCTTTTCTTCCAAATTTGTTCCCCATATGGAGCAAAAATCTCAAGTAAAGCAGAAACATGAACTTTAATCTTTATATCTTCACCTCACAGCAGAGCAGGAATAGCAGACACACCCATCTCAGGAAAGCAGGGAGCTCTTTTTATTTTTTCCCCCTCAATCTTCCTAAAAAATAATTAAAATTTCACTTGTCAGGGAAACTACATCCAATTTACTCTTAACTACTTCGCCTACACTTTGCTCAAAAATTACCACACAATGGTATAAAACACTCCAAACCTAAAACCACCAACTAAACTCTTATTTTTCTTTTAAAAAGGGCAAAACAAAACCAAAAAACCCAAACCAAACACCCAACAGAAAAAGATGAATGTATTTCAGGAGATAGCAGTCCAAGGGCCAATATAACAAATATTCATCCTGGACAGTTATCTGTAGATTTTATTACTGAGCAAAAAATTCCCTACACCACCTTGGAATTTTTCTTCAAAATGGTATAAGGCTTCTGTTGCTTCTAATCGTTTCTGAGCACACAAGATTGGACATCACAACCCTGACATTGCTGGACTGAAAAGCTATTTTATGTAATTTTGCAGTTTGTAAGAAGCACTGGTTACAATTTTCCTTTCCCTCAGATATCTGCACAGTTTTCATGGTAACTAATGCACCTGCCTTTATTAAAGAAAAAATGAAGAATATACACATTTAGAGAATAAAATATCTATTTTCCTAAAATAATTCATCATATGCAGAATATCTGAAGTATTTGTGAGACCTTAATGGTGGTGTCCATTAAATACGCTGACCTACATAGTATGAGATATCAGAGATTCACAATGAAGCCAGAAAGAAAACCAATTTACCAGACCAGGGATGTGTTTTGCCTTTCTCAGAACTGTGTCCCAGTGACCCCACTGAATTTTTACAGCAGGACAGATCCCCTCTCCAGACACTACAGTAGTATTTGTATATATATTTATCATAACTGTATTTATTTACAAAGATGTATGTGTGTGTGCCAAGATCATTGTTTTCTGTAGCTCTATGGAACAATTAAAAGCCTCACTTAAATATTCTGCTCCCAAACATTTATTGCTATGGCTTGGTGGGAAAAGATCACAAATGCCAAGTAGTGAAGGAGATCTGTCAACCTCTACCTCATCAAATTGCCCCAGTTATAGGGCAAAACCAATTGAAACTGGTGAAGCTCTGAAACAGGCCACAAATTCATGTTATCCTATTTTATGGAAGAGGAGGGGGATATGTGGGTTCTGGTAATTAAATAACTAAAAGTGCATGTAAAGAAGACTAGCAAGACAGTGCTAGCTATAAGAATCTATAAAGAGATTATAGTCTCTTCATATTTAGCAACTGTTCAGATTGTTTCTCTGCTGTTTTTACACCTCAGTGTGCAATAGTGACACAGGATAACAGCCCTTTAACTCTGATAGCCTGCCTGAAAGAGGGGGAGGCTCTGCACAAATCCTCAGCAACAGATCACCTGGGAGGAGACCCTGCCACTGGGCCACCTCCAGGGCCACACTCTCATCTGCTTTTGGAGAAAGGAAAAATAGAACATACGTATCCAGTGCGGGGGGAGGCGCGGGCTCCTTAAAAAGCATTCTGATGTAGTCTGAGCAATGCGACAAAGCCGAGCAGAAACAAAGTACATTTCTGACAGGGCTTCTTTCTTTTTATCTGAATCCATATATGTTTTATTCTATATAAAGTAAATATTAAATATTTCAAAGACTCTCGTGTAAAGCTTGTCTGTTGCATGCTTCTACTATCCTTTAGCTCTGAAGCAGTGCAATGGTAAAACCCAGCAACACGGAGCCTAGAGGCACTCTCCAGCTACTGGTGTGCCTTGGAGGAGTCAGCGCTCGATCCAGCCGGCTTAATGCAGCTTGTCTCATTCTATGAAATTATGATAAACTGAACTTGTTCCCAGGAAACATGCTAAGAACAAATGAAGCTTCAGAGTTGGCATATTCCCTGGATCCAGGGAAGCCTCGAAGCTCACCGGTGCCGGAGGTAGGACTGGCACAGCAGCAGGGAAGGGCTGCTGGTTCATGAACGCCGGCTGGGCAGGCAAGCACCCTGCACGCCAGCCAGAGAAGCGATAGTGTTAATAGGCTGACTTTGTGATTTATCTTATGTGGCATACAAATGATGTTTGCTCATGAAAAGTAAAGGCTAGTTTGGGGGGAGACGAGAAGGAAGCCAGCAAGAATAACTGAATTGTGTTAATTTATTTCTAGACTTTTATGCAGTCTACTTGGATGCTGATCTTTACATGGGTAAGACAGTATACGCATCTCTCTCTTTCCTGTAGCCTTACCAGTCAGTCCCATTCTGCCTGATTTCCACCTAAGTGTGCTCTTGTTAGCAGGACAGATGTTAACAACATTTAGACCAAATGAGATTTGTAGTTATTCATGTGCATAGTTGCCACCAATGCTATTGATCCTAAGATAAAGTGCATTATTTTTCATTCTTTGAATAATTTTAAAATGTTCCATGGCATATTTTGAAAGATTGTCTAGAAAATTGCTAGGAAGCAAGAAAATGCTAGAAACCAGAAAATTATTTTCATTTACTTTTAAAATTACCTGAATAGCCAACATGCTATTCATGCTTAACTTTTTTTATATATTGCCATCTATGAGAAATTATCAATCATAAAAGCATTACTTCCATTATACTGCTATATTCTAGTATACTATTATCTATTGTGGTACCTCATGAGAAAGAAAGGATATCTGACAACTGCATTAAGATGCTTATCTTATTAATGACCAGACATATTTAAGCTCATTTTTCTTGCCCTAGGCTTTTATGATCTAGCAATGGAAAATTTTTCTTCATATTTTTCAGAAATAACCGAAAATTCCAAGAAATGGAAGCCCCTGCTAGTAAAAGAAGAAACGCTGAGTATCATCAGGGCTAATAGCTCCTATGTGAGATCCATGAATGATTACAGAGTTACTTTTCTATATCGAACTTTCAAGTTTCATTAATAGTATGGTGCCTCTCCAGAACACAGATGCATTCATGGTACGAAGACTATTTATTCATCACATGAAATAGAAGAGCTAGAGGAACAATGGCTTCAAAGGTCTCATGCTTATACGTTTTGACAGTAGTTTGCTGGGCAAGCGCTCTTTGGTACTTAAGTATAACTCGTCCTACTTCTTCTTACACTGGCCACAGACAGCTCAGTAGCATATCGATAGCCAGAAAAAACGTTTCATTTGGCAACATAAGAACTCGACCTATAAATCCACATTCCTTTGACTTTCTTATCAATGAACCCAATAAATGTGAGAAGAGCGCCCCTTTCTTGGTTATTCTTATCAGCACAACTCACAAAGAGTTTGATGCAAGGCAAGCCATCCGAGAAACATGGGGAGATGAAAACAACTTTAAAGGAATTAAAATCGCCACACTATTTCTCCTCGGAAAAAATGCAGATCCTGTGTTAAATCAAATGGTAGAGCAGGAAAGCCAAATATTTCATGACATTATTGTGGAGGATTTTATTGACTCTTATCATAACCTCACTCTGAAAACACTGATGGGGATGAGGTGGGTAGCTACATTTTGTTCAAAAGCAAAGTATGTTATGAAGACAGACAGTGATATTTTTGTAAATATGGATAATCTTATTTATAAGCTGCTGAAACCTAACACCAAGCCAAGGAGAAGGTACTTCACTGGTTATGTTATAAATGGAGGACCAATAAGAGATGTTCGCAGCAAGTGGTACATGCCGAGAGATTTGTATCCCGACAGCAATTACCCACCCTTCTGTTCAGGCACCGGCTACATTTTTTCAGCTGATGTAGCAGAACTGATTTACAAAACCTCCCTTCATACCAGACTACTTCATCTTGAAGATGTGTACGTTGGACTCTGTCTTCGGAAACTGGGCATTCACCCCTTCCAAAACAGTGGCTTCAATCACTGGAAAATGGCCTACAGCTTGTGCAGGTACCGCAGGGTGATCACAGTGCACCAGATAACACCAGAAGAAATGCACAGAATTTGGAATGACATGTCCAGCAAGAAACATCTTAGATGTTAAGATTTTTACAGATGTAAATACCTTTTTTGTTTTGTTTTGTTTAGTCTGGTTATTTTTTGACAAAGTGATCTGCTGATTTACAGGTTAAACTATGGGATATTAACTGTGAGAGGATTTTTAACGACTGGTTTTTCATTCTCATTTTGACTACTGGTTTACAGACTTCAGGCTCTTTTCATAAGGACATTACACCAACCAAAAGGATCTAGAGTCAAATCTCAGATTTTGTGTATTTTCCTCCATTACATATATCAGCTCCTGCATCTGTATGTAAAAGGACAGTAATAAACTATTATGAGCTGCTTAACAGTTCATGCCCCAGCCTCTGAGATAAGACTCTGGCCCTCAGAAATGAAGAATTACAAACATACTTTTATTCCTTTTTTGACACCCTACAACCATCTCTAGAGCTTTGTTAATAAATTGAGCGGTATACATTTGCACTGACCTTATACACCTACCTTGACATGTATATTTTATAGTACAATGTGTGCAATTCCCAAACAGCTTACTGATGTATAATAGCATATTTTACACAGGTAAGAACATCAAAGTCTCATAGGCCTTAGAAACACATCCACAAACTTAAGTACATTTTTATCTACCAAATGGCATTCCTTTAAATTATTTCAGAAGATACCTGGTTTCTTTCCGCTGCCTAAAGTAGCCCCTAAAAGATCTAATGCAATTTTAAAATTAAGTAGAATGTGTAGATGAAATAAGACAGGAGGTGTATGAAAAACTACCTTAAAAATATGTGAGAAAAGTATGAATATCCTTTAACTTTTAATTTCAAAGCAAGTGCAATGTTTCTCATTAGTATCAGTGGATCTCTCCATTAAGCATCTTGCACAGCAGTATATAATTACATTGAATGATGTAAGTGTCAATAAGCAGCATATTTCTTTAACATCAGTCAGCACACTATTTACCTAAAAAAAAAGTAACACAAAAGCAGCTTTTTAAGGGTAAACTCTACTTTTTGCTACGGTACATATATGAATAAGACTCTACCAGATTTTTAATGGTGTAGGAAAGTAGAATTTTGTCCAATAAAAGAATGCAATCTATTTTCTGTTGATTGGGCGGGGTACATAACAGTTACATACAACTTTCACAGCAAAATAGAAGAATCACCTATTTTTTTAAGAATCACCTATTAAACAAATTGTAGCCTTTGTTCCAAATCTGCAGCTCCCAGGTTACTCATCACAGAGCCAATACTCTCTGAGGTCCTGCTTAAGATATCTGCAGAGCATGTAACAGAAATCAAATACACAATATTCTATTCATGTTTCATAATGTTTTTTTGAATACAAATGTTAATGAAATGTCTTGAAAATTATTTCCTGGAAAATTCCTTGATAAATTCAAGGTATCTCTGTTCAGCACCATCATCTAACAAAGCTAAAATATGACACTGCTCAGCAAATAACTTGGAATGAAGAATTCACGGACAAATTACAAAGATGTAAAACTCACCAAATATACTGTTAGCTGTAGATTACTCACACTGTTCACTGCACACACAAAAGTCTCTTTCATTTCAGCTGACATTACGTGTAACACATGAAAAACTGTTAAATCTGTACGTCATTCAGGATGTCTGTGAAGTTGTCAGAAATTAATTGAATAAGAATTTAAAGGAAAACTCTGACCTGATTTTGCCGTAGGTGTACATAGCACTTTACAACAGTAAATGAATGAAGAGGCTATCCAAAAAGGTTTGCAGTTTCATGACAAATTTTTAGTCTTATGCACAGATACAGAACTACTCTTTTGAAAGGAACTACCTGTAAGGTAAAGTGTACCTGGCCTTCAAGCCACAAGCAGTAGTTGTCTCAAACAAATCTACTTCAGACCTAAAGGTGAAGCTTCACAACAGTCAGCCCAGGAGGAGTTACTGCTAATCGACAGGAGGTTGTGCACCCTTCATAAATGAAAATCGGTGATTTTATACAAAACTACTGAATGTCTTACAGCATAATTGAGATTTATCCTTCCCTAGTTGACCTAGTCCTGTTAAAGTTGCTCCTGTCAAACTCAGAACTCTAGCTAAACAAGGTCCAACTAATTGTATAGATGAATATTCAACACACACACACACTGACAGGGTGAAGTTCGGCTTTCCTTAGCCAAGCCCCAAAATATGCTTGTTTAGGAAGGGAAATTAGAGTGGAATTCATCCCCAGCTCCAGGGTAAGTCAGACAGCATAGATGCCATCCTATCAGAAACACACTTTGCAATAATTTCAACCCACAGGCTGCAATCACTTCTGCTATCCCTCTGCAGCAATTTGGGGTTTCTGAATCAGCAACTGAATGGATCTGGTGGCCTTACTTCTCCTGCTGATGCTTCTGTGGCCTTTGGTTAGTAACCAAGAGGACAGCAGGGCTCCCAATCCAGATACTTCAGGGCTCAAGTAGCACGGTAGCCTTGAATTTCTCCTAGTACTAGTAGACTGCATTAGTGATTGGAAGGTACACCTTGAAAATAGTATCTGAAAAAAAAAAAAAAAAAAAAAAAATCTACTTCCTGCCATTTATAGATAGATCTTCAACAGAAATGTAAATGTTCATCTTGAAACTGATGTACATATTTCTAAGGCATTTTCTTCTGTATTCAGCTGTATATATGTGTAGAGTCTGCTTGCTACGTAGTATTCTGTTATGCATGGAGCTGAGTTAGGCATTATATTTGTCCAGTGTTTCAAGAGCCTTAAGCATGTGTGCCCTAACTTCTGAATGTACAAGATTTTTTTTCTTTTATTGTCAAGTGATTTTAAAAGAACACAAGAAAAGCCTAATTTTCTACTTCTATTAATTTTCTGATACTAGGTTTCACTAGCCTGTCACACTTACATAACAGATTTTACTATTTAATATTGCAGTATTGCAACCTGGAGCTAGAAAGGGAGCAATACGTCTACTCATAGGGACAGCTTACTGTCCTTTTCACTCAGTAGTATTTGTACCACATGGGGTAAACACTGGTAACAAGTGTTTGCATTAGGCTTCCTTTAAACAAAAGAAATATTTATGTTATTTAAAGGTCATTTTGTTTCACTAGGCATGGGACAAATGACAACTTGGTTAAGACATACTAGCTTCTAGTCACTTCAAAAGTGTGACTATAATCACATTTCAATTCCAAAAGGTACATGAACAAATCACATTGAGAGAAGAAGGTAGGGAGAGAAATGCCTCTCTTTAGGAGTTTTTCACAAAAACATTTTTTTTGCTAAAACCATGATAGTATTTAAACAGAAATCTCGAGGTTCATTTCCCATATTTCCTAATAATAACGTTAAGTATCAATTTTGATTCTTTATTGGGATTTTTTTTTTGTCTTTATAATGTAGACAGCAATGGCAATTTGTAAATGAAGAGTGTAATTAATTAGAAAAGCTTGTCAACAGTAACCGAACTTTAGGTGTATCATTATATATGACTGGCTGTACTTATGTATTTATTTGTCTAAATTGTATATATTGTTTTATCTATAGTGTCTGTAGGAGTGCATTCTTTTAGATTAAAGTATTATTTACAGTTTTGTGGGATTGCCAGCAAAGCTGCTAATCAAGATACTATTTTTTTGTATCAATGTCAAATAAAAAAAAATTAAGAACAAAATCAAATGAAAAAATGAATGTGTCCTGTAAGTTTTCTTCATTTCTTTCTAGGAATGTAAATGGTATTATCTGAAAACACAATATCAGTGAATAGGCTCATTTGCCATAAGGAAAAATATTGTGCTGTAAAAGCAGATTTAAAAAAAAAAAAAATGGAAAAAATAAACACAACAAAAATATTACTTTTATTCATTATTTGTGCACCAACTTCATCAAGCTGATGTCCACAGTGACCATGTGTACTACTTCATTTGATACCAGACTTAATCTTTAAACAGCCATGGCAATATCTAGCAAATTAGTAAATGGGTTCATCATCTGCTTTGCCCTATTCAGCTGCTTTGGCATCCCCAGCTAACGAGACTGAAGTTTAAGAGTTCCAGGGTGGCAAAGCTGTTTGACTCTATTGGCCCTGCAACATAATTCTTCTGCTACCTCCATGGTACTTTAATGCATATGCTTGCAGCCTAACAAGCTACACACAGGAGAAGAAGAGAAAGCACGAATGTCCCAGGAAACACATCTCTCAAAACCACAATAAACTCACTCTGAAGTTGCTGTGTGACTGCTGGGAGAGTATAAATCATAACAAGATGCCTTAAAACAGCTAAATGTTTCACATATAGTAAAAAACCTCTCCAATCATTTTATTTTTTTTCTCGTTTTCACCATAGCAGCCTGAGTCTAATTGCAACACTTACATGGTGTTTAATTAATATACAGCTTGGAGATATACCGATATTAGCACTAGTGTGGTGGATTTCATGTAGCTTGATTATCTTAATTACAAGCATTCTATTTTCTCATTTACTTAATTGATTGATACAGATTTCCAAAGAAATTTGCACTGCCCTAAGTGAAAACAGTATGTAAAAAAACCTTAAAACTGCTGAAGCTGGACTATTCAAGCAGCAACATGTCAGAAAAGGAGATCAGTAAGACATGAAACATTGTACTGAATAATATCTGCTTATTTTTCTCTTGCTAAAAATAGGAATTTATGAAATGCAAGAAGAGGAGTCATCTGGGGAAAACAATGAATATGCCTTATTGATTCAACTGCACCCGTAATAGAGTTGTCTCAAGTATTTCCTCTGATGACATGCCTAACGCAGGAAAAAAGATCCATTTTTCTGCTAGGTCTGCATGTTAGCTGACTCTACATTATATCTCTGCCTCACCTGAAAGAGCTAAGGAGAGTAAAAGGCGATTTATTTGTCATGCAAGATTTATCCCTGAGAATTTATTCTGCAAAGGCAGTGTTACATATCAAGCTGTGCAGAATTATGTGCGATGGTTTTGTAATGCAGACAGCTTTTATTTAGAAGAAGAAAATATACCAAACTTGAGGTGTGCTGGGTAACACCTAATATATCCGCAGCTAAATCAAGACTACCAAGAATAATTCCAATCCCTGTGCTCCCTTTTTCCTTTAGGAGTTCCTTTCTCTAGCCTATTTTCTAGCATGATCTCTTTCCTCAAACAGAAAGCAGACCTCTCGGGCACCTTAGTATAGCAGTAAAAGCAAGGGCAAAGCAGAGAGCTCCCTACAGTATCATCAGAGAAGAGCTAGCAGGCCCAGAGTACAAAATTCTTTAGCATGACATTCATCCTCTTTTGGCAATAAAGATAGCAGCCACGTACGTGAGGTAAACCACAACCAGTGCCTGGATTCATCCATCTTGATACACCAGCCATTGGGCTCTAAGTGCATCATGCTCAGATCACACATCAATTCTTGCTTAGCATAAGACATTTATAGGAACATCTTAAAAGAAAAGCAGTGCCAAAATGTAGCAAGAGCAGAAAGGGATAAAACATTTTGAAACATAATTTTTTTTTATTATTTATTCAACTTCATTAAAATCTCTCTTCAAAAAGAATCTTCTATTGCAAGAATTTTCAACAGTTATCCATTATCCATCAGGTCTTATACATATTTAAGGGGCAATGAAGTAAAACACTGGTCTCCATTACCTGCAGTACTGAAGACTGTATTTGGATTGAGCTGTGTGGGGCAAATCAGATTTGATTAAAGTCACAAGCCCCATCAGTTTCAATGGGATTTATGCCTGTTTACAAAGGGCTGAATTTCATTCTCTGTGTCCAACTTGAGCCTTACTCCTACTCAGTGACATCAACTGGGATATCATCAAGGTTTCTTGGGAAGAACACTGTATTCCAGGCAGTACCTCACTCACCAGAAACTTCAACTCTTATCAAATGCAGGCAGGAAGACAAAGTAAGTAGCAATCTCTCCAATTTCCCATTAAGCCTACTCCTTATGAAGACAAAGTAGAACATGGAACCTATGGGTTTGTGACCTGTGCAATGAAAGCAGGCATTTAACACCAACTCTTGACAGAAGAGGGCTCTGTGCCAAGTTATCTATCACCTGGCTTTCTGGCAGTTCACAAACACGTTATATTTGCTCACTAAAAGTCTGTTTGGCAGAACTAACAAATACATGCCACTGCAGGCCCATACCTACCTCTTGCGATTGCTCCTTTTTCATTTCCTACACAGGTTTTATATTTGCAGTCATTGCACTGGTGAAAAAATGGTGGCATAATGACACCTTTCCTAAACTTCATTCATCCGGAAGAATCCCAACAGTCTAATTTAGGATCATTTTCTTCCTCCTTGAAAATGAGACAAGTATAGATGGTCTTTTCAAGTTAGCATCAGGACTTGTAGGCATCCCTGCAGTTCCTCGCCTCCATTCATCAGACTAGTCACTACATTCAAAGCTTTTGGCGTGGACCCCTTTTGGCTCTAGTCACTAACCTTAAAGCAACACTAAACCTCCTCCCTTTTCCTTGTGCTCAGCTAGGTCTTCATTTAGTGTAGTTCCAGCACCCAGAAAGTTTCCCCTCCACACTTGCATGCCCTTGCCATCACCACAGCTGCCCCATCTCACACAGCAGACTCCAGCCATCAGCAGGTCCTTTAGCTGTAGCTTAGCCCTCAGCACATCCCTCTTCCCTATCTCTCCTCCTTACACCAGCAAGCCCTGGATAGCTGTCACCTGCCTGCTTTCCCACTATTATTTCTTCTCCTTCAGGACTGTTTACTTCTCTCCATTACTAGTTTCTTACTAAACTGAGACTTACGGATGGTTTGCCAGTCCCAACTTCAACTCATTCCTGTAAGATAGGGCAGACACCTTCACTTTCCATAACATCCTTCTCCTCCCTCTCTTGTCCCCATGTCAGCTTTTTGCTTGATTTACAAAAATTGCTTTAGCTTCACTCCATTCTTCTGCACTTTTCATCTGCTTCAATCTGGTATATTTCCCTGGTGTTCCCACCACTCTCTTGATTTTCCTAATGTGCTTTTATATAGCTCAGCATCCTCCCATCTAATGCATCTGTTCATATCAGCCACAAAAATAAGAACTTAGGGTTCTATGAAGAGATGGTCCCTACCTGAAGGGTTTACAGTCCTATGCTGTCCAATGCCTGGCCAAGTGAATTCAGTGAGTTTCAGAGAACAAGTAGCCCTTGAAGTAGAACCCTCAAGAACTTTTTATTTGGAGTTGCCTGGTCTAGTTCTAGGTATATGGAAAAAACAGGTCCATCATCTTTCATCTTGCCTCTGCCTGCAGAAATCATTGCACAGCCTAACAGATATTGCTACCATACACTCCTTTTACCTTTCCTCACATAACCTTGAATAGTTCATCAGAATTCAAACCAGTATTTTTTGTTGTGGTTTGAGCCTACTCAGCAGCTAAATGCCACACAGCCGCTCACCCACCCTCCCCCCACTTGGGAATGGGGAGGGAATCGGAGGGGCAAAGGGAGACTCGTGGGTTGAGAAAAAAACGGTTTAATAACAGTAACAGAACAATACACTGACAGCAATATCAGTAGGTAATGTACAATACAGCTGCTCACCACCCGCCGACCGACACCCGCCTGCTCCCAGCCAGCAATCCCGAACACAAAGCCACCACAGCAACACTCCCAGAAGTGGCAGCCTCTCCCAGCCCTCTCCTGCCTTTATATGGTGAGCATGATGTCACATGACATGGGATATCCACCAATCCCGGCCCAGCCCTCCAGCTGTGCTCCCCCCGCCCCCGCACACAGGTGAGGGCACTGGGACCTGGGGAGCCCCTGGGGTCTCAGGGTGCTGCAGCACTCCTCCAGCTACTAAAACAAACAGGAACTCTATTCCAGCCCGAACCAGGACATTTGTTCACATTTCAACTTCCATTTAATCACACACAGCTTATTCCATAATTCTAATGTTTTAATCTTTTTATCTACTTCTGCTCCCTATGTTGCCTCCACTTTCCTCATATCTTTCTAATAGTCCAACATACAGTACTGAATCTATTGCAAAAGTATTTGTATGAAGACTGAACACAGCAGTACTTTTCACTGTCCCCGTTTCTGAGGTATCAACGACTGCATTATTGGATTAGTTGTACCAGACAGGACAACTTGGCCTATATTATCACATTTAAAGCAGAAAACTAACTTTTCCTAGCATCTGGAACAGACAGGAAGTCTACAGGGCTACAGTAACTATAGACATGGCAGGTGTCAACATACCCATGTTATTTTTAAAATAAGCTAGTTAGTGAAATTTCTTTATATAGAACACCATTTCCCCTTGAAAAGGCCACAAAAAAAGTCCAGATCATTCAGGATAAAGTCACTGAGGTGCACTGAGGCTTTGTATTATGTTTGCCATCACTTTGGAACCACTTATTTAGCTTCCAGTTTTATCAAGAGTTGGTTGCAGGCTGGTTTATGAAATGAAGTATTGCTGCCTCTGGGGAGTAGTATCCTGTACTGATGAAGCTGACTTGATACTTCCCAAGCACCATTTTACTCTAATCAAGTATATCTGCACTTTGAATTACAAACTCAGCTGATACCAAGGTTGATGATAGGCTGCTTTAACTGGTCCTTAAAAGCCAGTATTATTTACTGCCTTGTTACTTGGATTCAGCATTTCTACACATGGGGATAAAAACTAATGGGCTAGAATAAATAATATA